CCCTGTCCCCTCCTCCCCCTCCTCTCCCTCCTCTCCTTCCACTCCCCCTCCTCCTCCTTATGTTCTTAACAGAAAGGAGGCTTGGTGATGTAGCAGGTAATGTGCTGGGCTGCTAACGGAAAAGGTCTAAAGTTTGACTCCCCTCACTTCTCCACAGGAGAAGGATGGGCAGTTTTTTCCTGTGAAAATTTACAGGAAGGTAATGGAGGGTCACTGAGTTGGACTCAACTCAATGACAATGGATTAGATTTTTAGGGGTAAAAAGGGGGCGATTAACATTAACAGAAGCAGATCCCCAGGCATTTTCTTCCACCATGCTGCTGGCGGACCGCTAATCTTAGGCTAGCAATTGAGGGCAAACCACTTATGTCTGTTGTTAATGTTAATTCCAACTCACAGACACCTGACGTGGGCAGAGGAGAATCGTGCTACAAGGTTTTCAAGGTTGTAACGTCTTGGAAGGAAGCTCCAGTGACGCGGTTCATGGTGAATTGTGCTGAAAATCCAAAGGTGGTGCCTCTTTGGGGGTTAGAATCCATCAATGACTCTGAAGGAGGAAGGGGGAAAATCTCCTCCCGTGTAATCCACAGCCTCTTAAAAACCAGCTGGAGGGTCAGCTAGGGTCCTTTGTGATTCAGCAGCTATGAGTATGAGATTTTTTTTTTTAGTCAACCTCTTAGAAGCTGATTATCAGGCCTATCCTTCAAGGTACCTCTGGGTAGGTTTGAACTACCAACTTATTGGCTAGTAGTAGGCTGGTAGTTGAGTGCAAATTGTTTGCATCAACCAGAAACTCCATATGTCTCTCTCAAGGCCAACAGCTTGCCACCATAGAGTCAATTTTGACTCATAGCACACACCACCCCACACCACCCCCCTGCGGATTTGAGCATGTGATGAGAGAGTCCCCTTCATCTCCACCAGGGTCCTCCTGCCTTTTTTTCCATGAGGTGGATTGATTCAGTGACTGGGATAATCGGGGTGGGAGTGTCAGAGACCGTGCAATTGGCACAGGACAGAGCAGCGTTTAGGGCTGTTGTACATAGGGTCGCTATGAGTCTCAAGCGACTCGATGGCACATAACAATAAACAACAACATCAGAGCATGTTCTCTGTGTGTGTTCAGGCTACTTCCCTGTAACCCCGACCTTTTTTTGGTTTTTTGTCAGTTCCCAAGAATTTCCTTCACACCCAGCATCCATGAGAGAGCCAGCTCAGGGTCCACAGAGATTCCTATCTCAGTTAGTTGTGGTGGGAAATGGCCAACTGAGGGGGCGCACCTCTGGGTAACAAGGGCAGGAGCTCTGGGGGCTGCCTCCTGCTCAAGAGACAGCTTCATAGGCCGAGGCCCTAACCCCACCAGCCATGCAGACCTGGGTCGCTTTCTAGAACTCAGTTCATTCATCTGTGTGGGGAAGAGGTCGGTGACCATTCTATTTAAATGATGAGGACAGGGTCACTTCATTTACTTGTTCACTGAGTGAGTAGTTATGGAGTATCTTGTAGGTGCCAGGCAAGATGTGGGGATTAAGAGAATGAAAGAGACATTATTTCAGCTCTCACAGAGCTCCAAGCTCATGAGGGAGACAGAGCAGTCAAACGGTGACCTGATGAGTAATGGCGCTCATGGCTTACAGAGCAACAGTGTTCCTCCATCAGGATGAGGTTCAGTGTCCTCACTGGGACTCAGGGCTGAGCAGGAATGAGCTGTGTGAAGGATGGAAAGGCTAAGTCCTGACGGAGAAGCTTGGGCCAAGGCCTGAGTGCTGCCGAACAAGCACAGGAATTGGGAACGTTCTATGTGACTGAAGCTGAGACAGAATAAAATCTAAAATGAGGCATGAAGACAGTTGTCATTCAGACCAGGAAGCCTGGTTTCATTTCTGAGGATCTCAGGGGTGATGAACTGGTTGTTAGGAAGGTTTTGGCTCCAGGGAAGATGAATTAAATGTTGTATTTCATTATGTTTTCTTTGGCTTTGGGAACATTTTAGACATTGGCCACTCAGGAAAACGACTATCTTATCAGCGTGCAGCTCAGTGAATTTTCAGGATGAACCACTTAAGTAAACGGCATCAGGCTCAAGAAATAGAACAACACACGCCTAGCAGGAGCCCTCACTAGCTCGAGTGTGTCCTTCTAAGCACCACCCCTGCCATGAGTGACCCTTATCTGACCACCATCTCCATAGATGAATCTTACCTGTACTGAACTTAGGGTAAAGGAATGAGGCCCTCTCTACTCTGTTAATCAGGCCAGGCCTCCCTCAGCACCAGGTCTGTGAATTCATCCATGATGTTGCTGAAGCAATAATGCTCAGCTCATTGCTGTAGAGCTTTGTGTTGTGAGAGCAGTAGTGACGGGGGCATCTGGGTCATTACCCTGGGCTGTTATGAGCTGTATTGCTGTGCACTTTCTCTTGATGGACAGCTGCGCTTCTTTCTACCGGACATGCACCTGCGAATGGAATTGCTGGCCACGGGACATACACTGGCTTGGCTTTGATATAAACTGCAGCATAGTTTTCCAAAGTGTTTGCTTTGTTATGTGTGAACATTCTGGTGATCACAGAGGCTGATTCAGTCTTGGTTATTTGTGATCATCTCCTGCCCAGTCTTCTCACACCAATTCCCTGGTGGGGTGGGGCCTTTCCCAGCTCCAGGCACAACAGACTGTTGCTAGAAGGAGTGACCACAGCAATGGGCTTGAGTGTGTCAGAGGTGCTGAGGATGACACAGGATAGGGCAGGGCTCAGATCTGCTGTTCATGGACTCGCTACGTGTCATGCTTGACATAATGGCGCATAACACCACCCCCATCCCCACCCCCCTAAATAAAAAAACAAACCAGAGGTCTGGGTGGATGAGGGGAGTTTGGAGCACCTACTGAGGAGTAGAGGTAGGTCAGAGTCCCACTGGGCTCAGGACGACCTGCCAGAGCACCTGCAGGGTGGGGAGGGGGAGTCGAGGATCAGTGTTAAAACGTGCCAGAGAGAAGGATGTGGTGGGCGGCATTGCTGGGTTCCTGCCTCGAATGATGGTGCTTGAGACCTCAGCCCATCTGCATGGGGCAGGAAATGCACTGGCTGGCCTCCCAGGCCGCAGAGAAGAATGCGGTCCTTCTTGCATCTTCACACTGTTTCCCCCTAAAATATCACAGACCAGGGCTGGTCACATCCTGCACTTTGGGTGCTGAATGGGTTGTAGAATTGGATTTATAGAAGACCCCTGCTCTGGGAGATATGGGATTGAACTTGAGAGCGGGGATGGGATAGAGATGGGTGAAGGCCAGGGCTGAGATGGAGGGTCCCTGACCTGTCAGCTGATGGTGGGTCCTCTGTCACAAATGAATAGTCTTTGGTTTGGCTGATTTGTCAGTCAACACACTGGAGGTCAAAGGAACAGGAAGCAGAGGGCCTTAGGCTGCAGCGTTTAGTGCTGTAATAGGGGTAGCAACCTTAGGTTTCTGCTGTACATGGCTTGTGCAACCACGCCTGACAGTCTCTTCAGGACTAACTCACAGACAAGTGGAGGAAAAGGGCAGGGATGGAGGTGGAGATCAGTTGCCTTTCCCTCTGTGAAGTCTTCCTGAGCAGCTGGTGTCTGGGCTGATTGTTCTGCAGAAGGTGAAAGCAAAAGAAATGCCTTGAGCAAAAACCTGAAATGGGAGAGCGCTCCGAGACTGTTCCTTGCGGGGGGGCCATCACAATGTGTCCCAGCTAGAGCCCAGTCCATAGCCACCCTTTGCCAGGAAGCAAGCAGGGAATGGGGGTGCTAGGCCCAGAGCTGAGGCACAAGCTGGGGAGGGGAGATGGGTGTGGGGAGAATGGCAGGGTTTGCTAAAGAGGCGACCTAATTTGGGGGCTCAGCTGCTGAGGGTGCACAGAGGAGCAGAGCCCAGCTGTAGCAGCTGCCCTCAGCCCTGCCCTAGATCAGTCCCCTCAGCTGTGTGGGGGCTGACAGCAAGTCATTCAGCAAATATTTACAGAGGGTCAGTCTGTGTGGGGGCACTGTTGCAGGCCCTTCGGGAGCAAAGGGGAAACAAGAGAGACAAAACCCCCTAAAGTAGAGTTTCAGTCTAGTAGGGGTGACAGACAGTAAGCAGGCAAACAGATAAAGATGGTGGCAATTGCTGAGAAGGAAATAAAGTGAAGTGGTGCAGAAAGGAATTGAACTGTGAGGTGAGCCTAGCTGGAGAAAGCACTTACGAGGCGGGCTAGTTAAGGAAGACCCAAGAAATGAGACTGAACCAGCCTGGAGGAGAGTGAGGGAGAAGGTTCCAGGCAGTACGGCTGCAGCTTGAAGCTGTGTGTGCTCTGCAGCTCAAAGAGCAGAAAAGGGGTGGGGAGGGTGGGGGGGCTGGATTGTGCAGGATCCCATGAGTGACAGTAGAGGGTTTAGACCTTTTTATGTCCAAATGCCTGGGAGGCTGCTAAATCAGGAGCTGTACTGTAGATTTAAATGTAAAAAACCACAACACAACAGCCCGGTGACTCTTACCATAAATGAAAGTGGTCAAGGTGGTGGCGGGAACACAGAGAGAAGAAATGATCTCCAGTTGTGGTTTGGAGGAAGCTGTTGGACTGGCCGTGCAGGACGGGGGAGGAGATGGCAGAAAGGATGCTGCCCAGGCTTCTGGCTGAGAAACGGGAGGACTAGTGGTGCCATTTATTGCTGTGGGGACAACAGGAAGGAGCAGTTGGGAGGCTAAGACTGTCCAATTCTGTTTGGAACATTCAAAATTTGAGGGGTCAATTAGACAGCTGAATTTATTCTTGTCAATAGTTTGAAATGGTTCTTAACTGGGCGAAAAGAAAAATGTTGATGGGACTGTCTGTGTTCCTTCTCAAGTCCTGTTTGCCTTGCCTTTTCTAACCAGCAGCGACCACTTGCACTCCTTGGTCTGAGGCCCCTTTCTCCAGATCCAGCAACACAACATCTTCTAATCTTTCTCCAACCCTCCTGCCTCTCTCTTACAAGGATCCTCCTTGTGGTTACAATGGGCTCACTTAGATCATGCAGGACGATCTTCCATCTCAAGATCCTTAACTCTGTCTGTACGGTCCCTTTAGCTGAACATAACTGAACATTATGTTTAGTGGAACATAACATAGTCACAGGGTCTGGGGATAAGGTTGTGGACACCCTTGGAGGACCATCATTCGGTGGTTCTTACATCTGGTGAAGAGTCAATAGCACTACAGATTTAAAAGTGGCCATGTCAGCAACTGGAGGTGTATTGAAGTCATGGATTGAAGAGATCAATCACTAGAAAGAGTGGCCAATGAGAGAAAGAAGGACCAGACCTAAGATTCAGTGACATTTAGAGACGAGGCAATGAAGAAGGCAGTAAAGAAATCTAAGGAGTAATAAGGGAGAAGAAATAAAGAAGCTGTGGTATATTCACACAATGGAATACTACCCTGCGTTGAAAAACAAGGAACTCATGCAATATTATTCAAAATGGGTGACCCTCGAGGATATTATGCTGAGTGAAATATCTCAGTCACAAAAGGACAAACACTGCATAATGCCACTGCTGTAGAATGAGACTGACATCAGGGTTGGGGTAAGAATGAGAAAAACTCGATAAATTATGTATATTGCATTGAAACAGATAAGGGAGAGAACAGTTTAAAAACAACATACTGTAGGGTATTTTGATTACCAGAAGAGTATGGAATGAAGGTTGCAAAGTGAAGTATACTTGGGGTGGGGGGGGGATGTGGGGGGTTTGTATACCAATGAAGGAATTTCTTTTACTTTTCAAAGAGAAGAGTGAACTGGGGGGTGGGGGTGGGGGGGCAGAAAAGTGTAACAATGAATGAATGGAAATCCAAAATCTCTGTAAATGTACATTAAAATTAATAATAAAAAAAGAAAGTACTTCAAGCAGGAGATGATCACCCATGTCCAGGACTGCAGAGAGGTAGCTGAGGACGTTAGATTTGGTCACCTGGGGAACCACTGGTGACAAGAACTTCAATGGGTGGAAGTAGACTTGGGATGAATTAAACAGAATGAGGGTTCTCCCAGCAGCAGACCTTATTATTGTTACTGTGTGAACCAAGGAGATAGGTGAGCAATATATTTTGTAATTATAAAACAACTGAAGTAATGGAAAGGGAAGAAGCAGAGATGGGGTCTCATCCCTGACCTGACTCTGTGGTCTCCAGTCTGCACCCCCACAAACCACGGTAACCACATCATGACCTTTTCAGTGGTGATCTTCACCTTATAAGGGCCTCCTACTGCCTTCTGCATGAAGATCTTCTACTGGGTTTAAAGTGACCAAAGCAAACCCCAGCCCCCCCCCCCCACCTTTGTCTTAGGGCTCTGGTGCTGATGTAACAGAAATACCACAAGTGAGAGACTTTAAAGGCAGAAGTTGTATTTTCTCATAGTTCTGGAGGTCTTCTTGTTGTCAGGTGCCATCAATTTGACTGTGACTCATGACAGCTCTGTGAGCGGCAGAGCTGAACCTTGCCCTATCCTGTGATAGATGCTTGAGCCCATTGTGACAGTCCTGTGTCAGCCCATCTTGTTGAGGGTCTTCCTCTCTTTCTCTGACCTTCCACCTTTCCCAGCTTGATTTTTTTCCCAAAGACTCGAACCAGGATCTTGACCATGTTGATTCTGTCAGTAGCTCCTACTTTTACCCACCCATCCCCAGGATGGCGAACTCAGTCTGCCTCAAGCAGCCCAGTCTTCTCTGTGCAACATGCATTGTTGTTATTGTTAGTATTCATGCTTACACTAGATTCACTGCTACTTCTGTGGGCCAGGTGGGCTCCCAGTGAGAGGCAAGAGATTTGCAGTTTTGAATCACATCTGAGGCTGCCTGAATCAGGCCGAGGTCCCCACTCCCAGACCTGTGGTTCTGAATGAGCTAGAGAATAAGGGTGCTAATGTGCTATTCAGCACCATCACCAGGCCACGTGGAGCAGGCTGGAGGCTTCCAGATTCTCCCACTCCTAACCTAGCAAGAGAGTGGAAAGGTTTATTTATCACCAACACCTTGCCCATCTCTGGTAAGGTGGGTGGACAGGCAGAGAGGGGTTTCATTTAAGCATTTCCTGCCTGGAGCTGGCAGAGGTAGAGGGGAATCAGTGCCTCCCCTGTAAAGCATCTCTGCAGTCCTAGACTCGAGTCTGCTTGTTTTTCTTGGATCTGGGCCTCCTCTCTGCCAGACAGGGACAAGAGGACTGTGCCTCAGCAGGCAGAAAGCAAGAGGATTGCTAACCAGTTCAGCCCTCTAATCACCCTCCTTCTCAGGCTCCTCGTCACCAGCCCTGGAACTAGTGGATCAGCAGGACCCCTCCATCGGTGTTCCCGAAACCTGGATAAAATCCTCTGTCAACCAGTGGGTAAGTCACTCAGCTCCCAGGGATGTGCCCCAGCTACTCCTTTCCAGGAATCCTACTTAACTCAATGGCCCCCCCCCAAAAAAACACCTCAATCCCAACCATTCCAGTTCCACCCCAACCTTAGACTCAAGACCACCCACCCAATAATCCTTCCCATCTAAATGCCCAATTCAGTTCCCTTTCAATCCTAATCTTAGCCACTTTGCCCAATCCTAACAGCAAAATGATTCCTAAAATATACTGTAGGGGAGAAAGACTGGCCATCTCCTCCTGTGTGATTTAAAGCTTCTGAAAACTCATTGGAGGGTCAGCTCTCAAGAAGTTGGTTCTAACCAGATTGGCACACAACAGCAGCCACAAAATATGTTGAGTGCTTCCCAGGTGGCTGGCACTCTGCTTAATGCTTCGTTAACATTTCTTCCTCACAACCATGCCTTGTTACAGAAAATAAAATGTCAACTCAGAGAAACTAAGTCCTTCATTTGGAGGACCAGGGTGGTGTGAATGGCTCAGGTCCTCAGCGGCTAACAGGAAGGTTTGTGGTTCAAGTACACTGAGAAGTGCTATGGTAGAAAGGCCTGGTAATGCCCCTCTGAAAAAAGGACCCGTTGAAAACCTTTTGGAGCCACTGGTGAACATGTGTCTAAAAGTTACTATGGAAGAATCCTGGCTTTCAAAAGGGGGGGGGGGGAAGACAGAACAGAATTTCAAGTTCTCATGGAATCCAGACTTTCTGGATCCATGGAGGCAGAATGCACCCTGAAGCTGCTGCCCTGAGAGAGTCTTTCAGCCTTAAATAGAAATTATCTCCTGAAATCTTCTTAAAAACAAGCAGTAATTTAACAGAACAAATTATAATAGGGAATATCTGCCTTGAGCTTCATACTCTTTTGAGATCCAGCTATGTGTGATCGATCAAGTTGACAATAACAACTCAAAAGATTAGAGAGGAACCTTAGGAACAGTGAGTTTATGTTAATGAAGGAGGAACGATTTTGAAAAAGGAAGGGGAATGGTTGTGCTCTTTTGAGAATATAATCAACGTCCCTGAAATGCACATACAGGAAGTGTTGAATGGCTATGCTTTACCGTGTATGTTATCAACAATGACAACAAAATGAGTAAAATATGTTATAAGGGGGAAAAAATACAAAAGCCTATGGAATACAGTTGTACTTTGACACACCACCCATGGATAGCCACGAATCAGAATTGACAACATGAAAGCAACTAGTTAAAGACTTTGGTTTCTGTTATGATTAAGGCTACACATTTAGTGTTGGTGACACTGCAGATACTGTTGTAGTGGGAAAACCACAGATCTGTTTAAATGAAAACAAAGACATAGAAATAGAATCAGGAGGAGCTAGGTGTTCTAAAGAGTTACAGTTGCCACAGTGAATAAAGGCAAAAAATGCAAGTAAAAAAGAATACAGCTGGCACATTTTGGACTGGTTAATATCTATAAAGCTATAAAGGTCCAGGTGCCAAGGTCTTGATTAATCTCTTTTTTTAAAATTTTTTTTATTTTTTTATTTTTGTGTGAGTGTACCGTCAAATCAGATCTGACTGGTACAGGAGGAGATTGTCCCTCCTTCCCCGGCAGAGCATCTGGTGGATCCGAACCGTGCGCCTCTGGGTTGATTAATCTCTTTAGCTGGGTTAATCAAGGAGGATTAAAATAGGAGGTTGAGCCGCCTTTTCAAGGACACAAGCTTTTTTAAAAAAAATTTTTAATTTTATTATTTTTTTTGTATGTACCATCAAATCAGATCTGACTAGTACAGGAGGAGATCACCCCTCCTTCTCCAGCAGAGCATACGGTGGATTTGAATCAAGGACACAAGCTTTTAAGCATTCCAAAACCTCGCTGGATGTTATGGGCTGAACCAAATGAGACTTGGTCCATGAGATTTAGTTGGTGATACAGAAGGATGCCATAATCTGACACAGTTTGCTTAAAGGTGATATTGAAGTTATTAGTGGAATGGTAGTAGGGAGTGAGAATGTAGCATCAAGATTGACAAAGTGGGAAATTACATAATACTAATAATGCCTTATTCTTCTTTCCAGCCATTGAGTCAACTAGAGCTCATAGTGAGCCACCAGTAAGTTTCCAAGACAGTAAATTCTATTGGGAAGAGACTGTGCATATTTCTCCTGTGGAGCTGCTGGTGCATTTAAACTGATAGAGACACCTCTTTGTTAACAGCACAGACTTACAGACTGTGCCACCAGAGGTCCTTAATAATAATAATGTAACAGAGCAAATGCACAGGAATCAGATAGATTGCATCTGTGGAAAGAATAGCTGGAGAAGGTCAACATCAGCAGTGAAAACTAGGCCAGGTGCTGATTGTGGAACAGACCATCAACTACTCATATGCAAGTTCAAATTAACCCTAAAAAAAAGGTCAATAGTATCCACAGGAATCAAAACTTAATCTTGAGTCTACCCCCCACCCCTGAACTGAAAAACCAACTCAGGAACAAGTTTGAGATCTTGAACGCTAATGAACAAAGACCAGATGATCTGTGGGAAGATATAAAGACTATCATCCATGAAGAATGCAAAAGGTCATTACAAAGAAAGAGGAAGAAGAAATGACCAAAATGGATGTCAGAAGAGACTCTGAATATTGCGCTTAAAGTGCCAAGAAGCAAAAGCAAAAGGAAGAAATCAAGAAGTGAAGGAGCTGAATAAAAGATTTCAAAGGGAAGCTCAGGAAGACAAGGCCAAGTATTATAATGAAATGTGCAAAGTGCTGGAGTTGGAAAATCAAAAGGGTGGAACTGGCTCAGTATTTCTTAACCAAAGGAACTAAAGAACAAACTCAAGCTGTGAGTTGCAATGCTTAAGGATGCTATGGGCAGAATATTGAGTGATTCAGAAAGCATTAAAAAAAGATGGAAAAATATACAGTCACTGTACCAAAAAGAATTGGCTGACACAGAAGAATTTCAAGAAATAACATATAATCAAGAGGCAATGGTGATGAAAGAGGAAATTCAGGCTCCTCTGAAGGACTTGGCAAAAAATAAAGCCCCAGGAATTGATGGAATATCAATTGACATATTTCAATAAACAGATGCTGCCCTGGATGTGCTCACCAGGATGTGCCAAGAAATCTGGAGGACAACTACCTGGCCAACTGACTAGAAGAGATCTGTATTTATTCCCATTCCAATAAAAAGGTGACCTGACAGAGTGTGGAAATTATTGAGCAATTTCAGTAATATTACACACTAGCAAAAGCCTGCTGAAAGTTATCCAGAAACAACTGGAACAATACATTGACAGAGAACTACCAGAAATACTAGCTAGGGTTAGAAGAGGTCATGGCATTAGAGAAATTATTGCCAATGTCAGATAGATCTTGGCAGAAATCAAAGAGTACCAGAGGAATGTCTATCGTGTTTCATTGACTATACAAAGGCATTTGACTGTGTGGATCACAACAAATTATAGCTAACCTTGAAGAGAATGGGAATCCCAGAACACTTGATTGTGCTTATATGAAACCTATACTTCAACCCGGAAGCAGTCCTCAGAACAGAGCAGAGAAACACTGCATGGTTCAAAATCAAGAAAGAAGTGAGTCAGGGATGAATCCTGTCTCCAGTCCTTTTCAAACTATGTGCAGAATAGATCATTCAGGAAGCTGGCCTAAATGAGGAGGAATGTGGCATCAGGATTGGAGGAAGACTCATCAACAACTATGTTATGCAGATGGCACAACCTTGATTGCTAAAACTGGGGAGGACCTAAGTGCATACTGCATAAGGTCAAGGACTGTAGTCTTCAATATGGAATGAAACTCAACATCAAGAAGATGAAGATTCTCACTACTGGTTCAACTGGCAGCACCATGATAGGGGGAAAGGAGATTGAGGTTGCTAACAATTACAGCTTGCTCAGCTCCACAATCAACACTCTTAGTACCAGCAGTCACAAAATCAAAAGACAAATTGCACTGGGAAAATCTGCTGTCAGGAACCTCTCCAGAGTACTGAAAAACAACAATATCAGTGTAGAGACTAAAGTGTGCCTAATCCAGGCCATGGTTTTTGCAATTACTTGCTATGCATCAGAGAGCTGGACAATGACTAAGGATGATAGAAAAAGAATCAATTCCTTCAAGTTGTGGTGTTGGAGAACAGTCTTGAGCATACCATGGACATCCAAGAAAACAAATAGGTCTGCCTTGGACTAGGTGACACCATGTTTCCTTCTTGGAGGATCGGACTTTGAAGCTCCATCTCACATATTTTGGGTACTTGGCCAGGAGGTGCCCATCCTTGGAGAAGGACATCATGCTTGGAACAGTGTAAGAGAGGAAGACCCTGGCTGAGACGGCATTGGGGGTTGGTGTGTCAGAATCAGTGAGACTGGCTCAGGACAGAACAGGCCTCAGGGCTGCTATACAGAGGGTTGCTATGGTTCGAGGCAACTCGATGCCATATAACAACAAACAACAACAGTAAATTTGCAGGTTTCAGGGTCTTAATTAATGCAGGACAGCTGCAATGGGCTCTAGTGTGTCAGAAAGTATGAGGATGGCACAGGACAGGATAGGGTTCATATCTGTTGTTCATTGGTTTGTATGAGTCCTACTTGACAACACCTAACAACAACAACAACAACAACAATGTTAAATATAAGTTTTCTCCAAAAAAATAAAATGCAGTTCAATTATTTCAGTTTAATAGGTTTTTAGATACAGGCCGAGTCTTGCAATCTTCAGAAAAGCTGTATCAATTGCTATCAGCTTTTTGTCTGAGAGGAACAGTGTTTTCATTTCACTTTGAGTTCTTTAGTTAGCTAGAAGTGCCCAAATTTCAGTTTCAACCCTTTGTTAGCTGCTCCAAAAACAGTCATCTTTTTTTAATGGCAATAAATTAAACCAAGGTTTAATACCTTCACATTTAGCAGCACAAGCATTAATAAGGAATACTAAAGAAATTCCTTTCCATATGGCCTCTAAAGATTCCTTTTGCAAATATCTTTTCCAACACAAATGGTCTCTAGATTCAATGTCGTCTTCCTCTCTTGTGCTGTCCCTTCACTCTCCCAAGCATGATGTCCCTTTCCAAGGACTGGTCCCTCCTTGCAACATGCCCAAAATATGTCAGACGGAGTCTCAGAAACCTTGCCTCCAAGGAGCAGCCCAATTTCACCCTCTCCAGGATGAACCTGTTTGTTTTCTTAGCAGTTCATGGTATATTCAAAACTCTTCTCCAGAACCACAGCTCAAAGACATCGATTCACTAGGGATCTTAGTTACTACTAGGCACTAATAAATGCTATTTGATGAGCAGACATTAAGCAAACTACTCATCCTGTGCAAATGAACATTAGTTTCACATTTACTGACTCCAGAGGGAGCTCTGATGGCCTAGTGGTTAAGAAGCTGTGTTGCAATCCCCAAGCAAGTGGTTCAAATCCACCAGCTGTTCTGCAGGAGGATGGGCAGTCTTCAACCATGATATTAACTGCCTCTGAAAACCTGCTGGGTGGTCAGCTATGAGTCAGTTGTGACTTGATAGTGCACAACAACAACAACAACTTGGTTGTGTGAAGGAGAATTCTATCTCTGTGAGAGGCTTTGAACTGTACAGAACTCAGCCTTTGTTCAAAGCCAACAGGAAGACTTGATGACACAAGAGCTCTAAAATAAGACAATGTCCTAAGTGGCCACATGCCCTCTTGACTTTGGGATTGCCTTCCTATGTGCCTCTCTCATTGGGGTTTAATTTTTTTTCTCGAAGAATTCCCCATCCCAAAGAGGAGGCATAAGGGAGTGGCAGTGGCCCGGAACCAGCATGGTGTTTTGGTGAGTGCCTGAGCTGGAAGGGGGGGCTTTAGGAGTTTGACTGTGATAGTGTTACCTGACTAGCATGTCATTCTCAGGGCTGAGCCCACTTATCTGCCTGCTGCCAATTCCGGGGCTGACCTGTATTCTGATCTAGCAATGATTCAGGTCCTGACCTCAGCTTTGACCCCAGCACTGATCCCCTACCTGGGGGAAGGTGAGATGACCTCTTCTATATCCTCTGACTGGTACTGCGAACTGAGATGGAGGAAGAGATGTGACTGCATCTAAGGGATCTGGACTGAAGACCACCTAGGCTTTCCCTCTGTCCTCTTTCCTCTCTCCGCCCCAGGTTTGCATTCAGTTGACAACCCGGCAGCCCCATAGCCTCAACCCAGCATTCACAGGGACCTGCAGTCTACTGGCCCCCAACCTCAAATTCCAGCTCCAGACCAACTTCTCTGACCTTGGTAAGGATTAAATACTCACTGACCTTTGACAGCTCTAAAGACATTTTCCTGGGTCCCCAATGGAAGGCACCAGCCCACTGCAGGTTCTGAGAGGACACAGCTTAGGGGGGGAGGGCAGGTCATAAGCCCTTAATGAAGGGGACTGGACAGACAGTGAGAGCTAGTCAGGAAGTCCATAGCTGCTCTAAGGTTCTGATCTCCTCCATGTGTGTTTTAAAAGAAAATCATCTGAATCAGAATGTACGTGTGGCTGAAGGAAACTGCTACATCAATAAAGAAAGCAGCATGGAGCGGAATAAGAACTCGGCCAGGCAGCGCCGGGCCCTGGAGGATGTGGAGGAGGCAGAGGAGGATGAAGCCGGTGAGGAGCAGATCCTAGATGCTTGAGGGTGCTCCTAGATACTGTCAGAAAACAGAGGTGTCTGCGGTGGGGGTAGGAAGGAAAATGTGCAACAATAAATGAATGCAGGGGGAAGATGAAAACAGAGGTGATGGCAGAGATCACACAGCAAGTGGAGCCAGAGCACCTAACCCCATCCTTAACCCATACCCTGACCCTAGCCTTACCGTAACCCTAACCCACGAGAGCGACGCACACCACGTGGGACAGGTGGAATGAGGCTCAGGGTCTCCAGCGCTCTCTCACTCTCTCTCTGTTTTGTCTCTTTAAGACAAAGCTTCATGCTTGGAGGACTCACTAACTCCCTTGCCTTTGTTGCTGAGGGCTGTCAAGTTGACTCCGATTCATAGCAGCCCTTGTGACAGTGTGGAACTACCTATAATGTTTCCTTGGCTGTAATCCATGTGGAAGCAGATTATTAGGTCTTTTTTCCCACTGGTGGGTTAAAATCGCCAACCTTTCCACTCATGGGCCAATGCATAGGCCCTACATCACTAGGGTTAAGAGCTTAAGAGCATGGGATCACCCCAAATCCCCCCCCGACTTACTTTGTGTCTTGACACAGGCACCGAGATTGCCATTATTTTGGATGGCTCAGGAAGCATTGACCCCCCAGATTTCCAGAGAGCCAAAGACTTTATTTCCAACATGATGAGGGACATTTATGAGAAGTGCTTTGAGGTGGGTTTCTTGATCTCACACAATCTGTAAGTTAACTATTTGTATGGAACAAACGTCTTCCAAACAACATCCATTTTCCTTGTTCGCAATTCTGTTTGTGTCCGATTTGGACTGGCCTTGCTGGTCAGTTCCGTGATTGGTCTGGTCTGGGGTTATTCTTTCCCTTGCCAGAATCAGGCTCCTTGGCTGGAGCTGGAGGGTTTAACATGGCCTCGCTCATTTGTCTGATAGTTGGCCTGTTAGCTGGGCCAAGTGTCTCCACTTTTCTATGGTAATGGCGTGCCAAGGGAGAAAGCAGCAATACGTAATATCTGTTCAGTTCTCTAACTCCATCATGCTTTTGAATCAATGCCTTTGAATCGTGGTGTTGATGAAGAGTGTTGAATATTCCATGAACAAGACCAGAGAACAAACAAGTCTGTCTTGGAGGAATAGAACCAGGCTGCTCCTCAGAGGCAAGGATGGTGAAACTTCATCTCTTGGGCATGTTGTCAGGAGCGGTCAGTCTTGGGAAAGGACATCATGCTGGGGGAGAGGAGAGGGTCAGCAAAAGAGAGGAAGACCTTCAAGGAGTCACCTTCAGTGTCAGCAACAATGAGTTTAAGCATAGTGGATTGTGAGGATGGTGCAGGCTAGGGCAAGGGCCAGATCTGTTATTTGCGGGTTCTCTATGAGTGTGATGGTTGACTCAACAACACCTAACCATCACATTTGCTGATACCTTATTGGTCAAAAGAAGTCACATGACCATCTCCATGATTAATATGTGAGTCGTTGGTAAGCCATTATTATCACAATGTCTTCCACCTCTATTTGCTTAGAGCTTTTCTTCATACCATGGATAAGGGAGACTCAGAAGGTTCCTCCACTGCCTCTGGGGAAAACTATCCAAGGGACAGAGGTGGACTTGGGCATGGCCACTCTACCAAACAGCTTTCCACCTTGGTCCCCTCAGTGCAACTTTGCCCTGGTGCAATATGGAGCAGAAATCCGGACTGAGTTTGATCTTCTGGACAGCCAGGATGTGATGGCCTCCCTTGCCAGAGTCCAGAACATCACTCAAGTGGGGAACGTCACCAAGACTGCCTCAGCCATGCAGCATGTCCTGTGAGTGTGAGGGCGGGAGTATCTCTGCTGCATGCTGGCCAGTGGCCCTGCTCAGCGGCTCTGTGGCATCATTCCTGGAGAAGGGGCTGTCATAAGGGAGAGAGACCCAAGACTATTTATATGCAACATTTAGACAGTGAAGATATATCAGAGATCAGAATTTATTAGTGATTACCAGGGAAGGGAGAGGGAAGGGAAGAGGGGAGGCCACTGTTTAGGAAGTACTGTGTGTCTGTGAATGGTGATGGGGAACTTGGAATAGATACAGGTGATGGTTGCATATCATGATGAAGAGAGTCCATGTCACTGAATTAGACATGTAAAAAATATCGAATTGGCAAATGTTGAGGTATATTCCTTTTTACCACAATTGGGAGGTGGAGAGTAGAAGAGATGACCAGGGTTCTAGCTCTTCTCATGATGAGAGGAGCTGTGAGGTGTTTTCCAGTCCACTCTTGGATGAGGATCACACAGGACCCCACACATTTCTTCCAAAGACTTCCTCTTAAGATGGGAAGTGCAGTACAGTGCTCAGAAGGACCCAGAGGCCATGCTGTCTCGCCAGTTTGTACTTGTGTGTGACCTTGCACAAGTTGCCTAACCACTATGTCCTTTAGAATAAGAATAATGATACCCACCTTGGGGAGGGCTTGGGGAGGTCAGCTGAAATGTGTGCCATGTTCACTGTAGCACCTGGCCCAGCCTGCAGGAGCCCTTACAGAAGGGCTATGTGAGTATTAACCATTGTGATGACTGTCACTATATCCTTAATGTCATTGTTATGCCTGCACACACACAAAAGGTGTGACTTAAATGCCATCTAACACAGTTCAATTACAAGCAGGCAAGGAACCAAAACTCTTGTATCACAGGCGACAATCGTACCAGCCTGTGACACAGGGGCATTACCACCCCTCTTTATTTCTTTTTTCTTTTTTTTTTTTTTCAGTCCAAAGTAGATTCACTTTGAAAAGGTACCCTGTTGTGTTTTTTTTAAATGTCTATTTGTGGTTTTTTTATTGATATTTTAATGAAAGTTTATAGAGAACTTGGATTTCCATTCATTCATTGTTGCACAATTTCCTCCTTGCCCACCCCCACAGTCAGCTTTTCTCTTTGAAAGAAAAAAAATCTTTCATTGTTATACAATTCCCCTGCCCCAGTCCACTTTGCTATGCAGCTCTTATTCTGGACTGTTATCATGCAAATAATACCTAATCATATATTCCTTTTAAGCAGTTTTAAGCCTCATCTGTTTCAATGCAGTGTACATTATTTATCCTTTCTTTTCTTAGTTTCTCCCCAACCCCCAGGTTAGTCCTGGTTTGTTTTTTGGGTTTTATTTGGGTTTTTTTGTTTGTTTGTTTGTTTGTTTTTCTCTCTCTCCTTTTTTTTATTAATTTCAATGAACATTTACAGGGACTTTGCAGTCCTGTTTTATAGTAGTGGCATCATGCAGTATTTGTCCCTTTGTGACTGAGATATTTCACTCAGCATAATGTCCTTCAGGGTCACCCATTTTGTATAATATTTCATTAGTTCCTTGATTTTCAGTGCTGCGTAGTATTCCATTGTGTGAATATATCACAGTTTCTCTATCCATTTGTTTGTTGATGGGCACTTGAATTGTTTCAATCTTTTTGTTATTGTGAACAACACAGCAATAAACATGGGTGTGCATATATCTCTTTGGGTGACAGTTCTGGTTTCTTTAGGGTAGTGAAATTGCTGGGTCAAATGATATTTCTATTTCCAACTTTTTGAGAAAGCACCATACTGCCTTCCAGAGTCATTGCACTAAAAAAATGTCTTTTTAAACATCAGAATGACAATCAGGACCTGGCAGATGTACAACTTCTATCTATTCCTTACTTACCCTGAGAACACATATAGAAACTGGAAAAACAGAGAAGAATACCACCCCTCTTTAGGCCTTTGTGTCTCATTTGCTGAGAGTAGCGAGTGACTCTTAATCCCCTCTAATTCTAAACCAAGCCGAGTGCAGGAATTCCCTCCAGTGCCCTGTTACCCCTGTGGCAGAGCCACTGTCATCATCTCCTCTCTCCCTCACTCAGAGACAACATCTTCACTCCCAGCCGTGGCTCCAGAAAAAAGGCAAGCAAGGTCATGGTGGTGCTCACTGATGGGGACGTATTTATGGACCCACTCAATCTCACGACCGTCATCAGCTCCCCAAAGATGAAGGATGTTGAACGCTTTTCCATTGGGGTAAGAGCCAGGAACTGGGGGCACCTCCTTCCTAGACCCACACAGGGAGGGGACAGGGTTCTTATAGGGACCTCTTGTTTTCTTTCTCTGTAAGTAAATTACCCAAACTTTGGTGTAGTTGCAAGCACTCACTGACTTCTCATGGTCTCCACCCCTGGATCATTTCACTGAGGGCTCATGACGCTGGAGGCCAGATCTCAGAGCCCTTGGGGTTAGAGGGAGCCAGTCAACTCTCAGGGCACTGATGCACACACGCTGGGGTGATTCTGTGCAGGTGGGTGAAAAATTGTCTGATAAGGAATTGAAGCTGATTGCCTCAGACCCTGATGAGACTCATGCTTTTAAAGTGACCAACTACTCTTCACTGGATGGGCTGCTGGGCAGACTGCAGCAGAGCATCATCCGGATGGAAGGTGAGCTCTCCAGGGCCTCGCGTCACCCCTCGGCAGGCCCTGGGCAATTCAGCAGGACACCCAAGGCCTGTGCTCCAGCCCCACCTCTGAGCTCTCTCCATGTGGCCCTCCGAAGGACTCCTACCTAGTACCTCTCTGGATCTCCATTTCTCCATCTCTAGAAAAGTCCTTCTCACTTCCTAGACTGTCTGTGAAGGTCTAACAAGTAGAACTGGAACGGGAGACACAAGAATGAGGAAAACTCTCTCAAAAGAGGGAATGAATTATTTTTGTTTCTAAAGCATAGAATCTAAACTTAGCCGGATGCTTTTGCCATCACCCCCAGCACTGGGAGCGAGGCCAGTTTGGACCAGTCCCTGGCTTGGCTTCATCCTTCACCTTGGCCTTACTGAGCTTCTTGGTTTCCAGGTGCGGCAGGTGATGCCCTTCACTATCAGCTGGCACAGGTTGGATTCAGTGCCCAAATTCTGGATGAGGTATGTGGCCAACTTTCCCTTAGGGGAGGGGTGAGGGAAGAAGGGCCCACACACAGACACCTAGGAATACAGAGACACCTGGCTGGGCTCTGAAGTGGCAATTTAAAAAAAAAATTATTTTATTTTATTACCTTTTTTTGGTGTGTACAGTCAAATCAGATCTGACTGGCACAGGAGGAGATTGCCTCTCCTTCTACAGCAGAGCATCTGGTGGATTCAAACCTCACACCTCTGGGATTGCAGTTCAGCTTCTTGCCACTAGCCACCAGAGCTCCTGAAGTGGCAATTTTAAGATAAAAGAAATGACTTCTTTTTGCTCACCACTATCCAGACCTTTGAGCTTGAACACTTTCCCTTAATTCAGATGAGGGAAAACAGCCCTTGGGCTGGCTGGGCTTGCCAATTACCTGCTGACTTCTCCCCATTGGATAGACTACTCCCCACACATGGAGGCAGAGAGACAGGCATGGCGAGAAAACCAGACCTATTATGTACATGGAAGAACAGTTCGCGTCTTCACTCCATGCATGAACCCCTGTGCCAGGCCCTGAAGGAAATAAAATGACAACTCTGTTGCTCAATCATACTCTTATTATTATTTGTAAGCTTTGGCATCTGAGTCCCTGGCCAACTCTCTGCCCTCAGAGATGGCTGGTACTGGAGGTGCTGGAGTCCAGTGTTGACCACCTCACTGTCTTGGCTGTGTCTCTGGCAAGGTGGGCGTAGGGCCTGCCAGGTGTTGCCACGAGGAATGGCTCGTTGGTCCCTCTCTCTCAGACACACTTTCCCCCACTCTCCTTCAGAGGCAGGTGCTGCTTGGGGCCATTGGCGCCTTTGACTGGTCAGGAGGTGCACTGCTCTACGACATGTGCAGCTACGAGGGTCAATTCCTGAAGCAGAAAGCGTTGCACGACAAAGCTGTGCATTACAGCTACCTGGGTGAGGGCAGGGCCTGGACAGACAGGGCCCTAAAAGGCCTTTCACTGGGGGCAAGTGTTGGCAGGTAACAGGGAAGAGATGAAAGGTGGGACTTAGTAGAGGTGTGTGATGTAGGGGGGCCCTGTATAGCTACCCGGGAGAGGGTGGGGGTCTCTCCTTTACTAAGAGTGGCAGACATCCCTTCACCTTTCACCTCCATCCTTTAAGATTGTGTGGGTGGTGAACCTACGTATCTTCAGCAATGTGTGCATAGAAACCTTTGCTGGCACAATTTTAAGGGTGAGAGGACAGCCACACCACTTCAGACGCCTGACTGGGAGGGTGAAGTGACCACGGGATGACCTTATGGGAGCTCCTATTCATCGTCTGTCCTTCCCTACCCTCCATAGGTTACTCGTTGGCTGTGCTGAACAAGACCAATGGCCTCTTCTTTGTTTCTGGCGCTCCACAATACAAGAATCGTGGGGCTGTGTTTGAATTTCAGAAGGGAGGCACAGAGTCCAGCTTCCTTCCGGTGCTGGAGGGAGAGCAGGTACCTGCCAGCAAAGACCCTCTTATTATGGAAGGGGAACCTGGGGCTCCAGAAGGAAACAAGTTCTAGGACACACTATAGGCCAGGAGCCGGCCAGGGCAGAACTTGGGCTTCTGGGTAGAACTCAGGTAGGACTCAGCAGCTCTACCTGGGCTCTGCATGTCTGATCCGCAGGGAGTTCCTGCCATTGTACAGTCCCTTGTTGGTGCAAATCGCTAATGCACTTTGCTGCTAGACAAAAGTTTGAGAGTCTTATTTACCCAGAGGCACTTTGGAAGAAAGGTCTAGGGATCTACTTCACAAAAAAATGAGCTCTTAAATATCTCAGTTCTACTCTGATACACAGAACCACCATAAGTCAAAGACCTCTGGTTTCCTTGCCATTGTGGGGGTGTGGCTCAACGAGTAAATGAACCTGGAAGGACCCAAATCTTGTCATTTAGGAAGAACAGGAGTACAGATTTAGCTCGTCAGCAGTGGGGAGGAGAGAGAAAGAAAAGGTCCTCTCCAACCCTCCTGGTGAACTGAGTTCCTCTTGTATTGTAGATGGGGTCTTATTTTGGCTCTGAGCTGTGCTCTGTGGACGTCGACATGGATGGGACCACAGACGTCCTGCTGGTGGCAGCTCCGTTTTTCTACACTGATAGGGAAGAAGGCAAAGTCTACATGTACTGCTTGAATAAGGAGGTGGGAGCGCCCCCATTTTCAGGAGCTTTCTGAGGCCGTGACTTCTTGGGCTGATGGAGGCTGGGAAGTCTTTGGTTCTGCCCTTGCATCACAGGGCAGATGGTGATGGGATGTGCTTCTGGGTGCATGTCTGTTGGTGGAACAGCTGCTCTTCTCTCCTCTCCCCAATTTTCTCACTCGAGGCAGTAGATGATCACACCCCTTATCACCACGTAATTGACAAAGCATGCTTTTCCATGATCTCACTTGTTTGTCACAATAACTACGGGAAGTGACAGTAACCCTCATTTTACAGAATAGAAAGCTGAGTCTCACTGATGTGAACACTTGCTCAAGTTTATATAGCAAATATAGGTGGGGGTGAGAGTGGAATTGAGGTCTCTTAGATGCCACCCCAGTGCATCTAACCCTGGAGCAGAAGGTCCAAGCTCTGGGTCCTCAGCTGTAAGGAGAAGGACCTCAGCTTTACCACTGACTCCCTGTGTGACCTTGGGGAAGCCCCATGGCTCTTCTGAGCCTTAGCCCTCTTGCAGGAGGGTTGGAATCAGCAAGCCCCATGTGTACCTCCTGTGTGGTCCTGGTGTGGGCAGCAGGTGCCCTTATTCTGACAGCTGATCTGTCTCCTTGCTTAACAGAATGGTTCCTTCTCCCCAGCAACGATACTGAACTCGAACTCCAAGGTCACAGATGCCCGGTTTGGCTTTGCCATGGCGACTATAGGAGACATCAATCAGGATGGGCTCATAGATGTGGCCATCGGGGCCCCCATAGAGGATTTTGATGATGATGATGATGGTGCCAGCTTTGGCAGCGTGTATATCTATAATGGACGTCCTGATGGCCTCTCCATTCACCCCTCACAGGTGACTTGTGGCCTTTACAGTGCCCATTCCCTCCCACCTGCCTGTTTGGGGACTCTGACTTCCAAGAGGCAATGGCTGCAGCCTGAATGAGCCCCAGGCCTACGTGCAGGCAGACTTCTGGGTATATGAGGGCTCAGTGAAGGAGCTTCCAGAACCTCCCCTGAGGTGGGGTGGGAGTGAGAAGGTTGTGGTCATGTGGTTTGTTTATTGACCTGTTTTTCACTGGCACCCTTGACCTTGGGCCTATCTTAGGTCTCTCTTCTCTCTCTTCTGCTTCTTCATCTCCTGTCCCCCTCCTCCCTAACCCCTCCAGGCCTTAGCTTTCATCTCCTGGGGCTCCCCTGGCCATCTCTCATGGGTTATCTTTTTGGGGCACCCACCTCCATGAGTGTTTCTCTAAGAAACCTTCCCTCCCCTGGTGTTAGATCGAGGGATCCTCAGGATAGAGATTGTGGCAGACCATGATGGTTTGAAGAAACCTGGAAGGGCCTCTCCTGTCCTTACTCACCGATCCCTATCCTGTGCTTCTCCTTCCACAGAGGATCAGAGCCTCAGAGGTGCACCTAGGACTCCACTACTTTGGCATGAGCCTGGCTGGTGGCTTTGATTTCAGTGGTGATGGCCTTGATGACGTCACTGTTGGCACTCTGGGTCAGGCGATTGTGCTCCGGTAGGTGTCCCGGGCCGAGTCTGCTCCCTTTCCGGCCCCATGAAGACACGGTGCACTGATGGGAGAAGCATGCCCAGTGATGAAGGGCCTGGGCTCGGGGGTCAGCCCTCTGGGATTGAACCTCAGCCCTCAGTTATCAATGTGCCCTTGGTCAGGTTATTTACCTTCTGTAAATACCAATTTTCTCATCTCTAACTAGAAATACTATTAGTACCGACCTTCTAGACTTATAAGGATCACCTGAGGGCATACACTTGGCACCTCAGACGTAACATGTGTACAATATATTTATATTCTCATACACTCCTCTTTTTTTCCCCTCTCCCACCCCACCAACAAGATGTTCTTAGCTTTGGCTAAAAAAATCTCTAAATATGTTTATTTCTCTCGAGCTCTGCTGCTACCTCCTACTATAGACACTGTCATCTCTCACCTGGACCATTCACCGCCGTGGTGTCCCACTTCCAGGCCCTGAGCTCCACGCTCCATGGAGCAGTGAATGGTCTCTTCACATTGCTGTTTACAGCTTGACGGTGGTGTCCGTGTAGAGAAAAATCCGAACCCTTTCCCATGGTCTCCATTCCCTTTTCCTGCTATGCCTTCTCACTAGCTCTACTCCAGTCACAATGAGCCTTATGCTTGTCAAACCAGCCAAGCTTACCCCGAGCACAGGTCCTTTGCACAACCTGTTTGTTCTCTGTCTAGAATGCTTCTCTTTCGGATCTTCCCATGATTGGCACTTTTCCCCCCCAACAGATTACAATTTAAATGCCTTTTCTTTAATGAGCCCACTCCTGAGCAACCAGTTTAAGGTCTCTATTACCTTTCTTAAAAAAACCCTCACACATGGTCATAGAGTTGGATTTGATTTAGAGCTGAGCTTCCAGTGAGTTTTCAAGGCTGTAAATTAAATTGCATGGAAGGAGATTGCCCATCTGTCCCCCTCAGAGTCTCTGGTGAATTCGAACCTACAGAGAAGCATGACCTTTGTGTTAGCAGTGAAACCTCCCTATGGACAAAACCACCAGGGCTCCCTTCCTGTTACCTTGTACAGCTTTATTTTTATTATAACATTACCCTCCATGATATAAACTTTGATTCATGGCGGCCGCATGTGCTTCCCTGCTGTTCTCCGTGAGTTAGTGTGATCTTTTGAAATGAGTTCATCAGGCCTTCTTCTGAAGTTCCTGAGTGGACTCACCCCACCAGCTCTTGGGTTAGTAGCCAAGCACTTAACCGTCTGTGCCACCAGGGACTCCATAACATTCCCAATGCATAGTGTTTTCCCATTATTTTCTCGTTCATTTGCTTGTCATCTACTTTTTCACTAGAGTGAGGCTATACCTTTTTCTCAGCTCTGTCTTGAGGATTCAGAATAGCACTTGGCATATTGGAGATGAATGAATGGGTCAGTGAAGCCCTCACCTAGAAAGTTCTGCAGTCACTTCTAACGGTCCTCTTGTGCTTGTTTTAGCTCAAGACCTGTGGTTCACCTGAAGGTATCCATGACCTTCAGCCCGGATTTACTGCCCATTGACTTCAAGGGCACAGTGAATGTAAATCTATGTTTTGAAATCAGCTCTGGGACTACTGTCATTGAGACAGGTAATAGCCTCTGGTCAACCATGTTGTGATCATCCCTTCTTGGGCTCTGTAGCAGGGTTGGGAAAGAGTGCTGTATGTGGGGCTGAGACTTTAAAATCCCCCCCCATTAGGTTACTTCAGAATTATAATGTACCGAAGAGTTGGAACAGACCCATAGCTGACCCCCCAGTGGGTTTTCAGAGGCAGTAAATAGCATGGGAGAAGATCATCCATCTTTTTCTGCTGGTGGTGGATTTGAACTGTATACCTTGTGGCTTAGTAATACCGACTTGAGCTGCCAACCAAAGGCATGTGGTTCAAATCCACCAACTGCTCCTTGGGAGAAGGATGGGCAGTCTCCTCCTGTGCGATTTACAGCTCTGAAAACCCACTGGAGGGTCAGCTATGAGTTGGTCCCGACTTGAAAACACACAACAACAATAAGTCATCATTAGGTTCTGTTAAATATGTGCTGCCTCAGGAGAGGGTAGTCTGATGTTGAATCTACGCTCTGAAGAGATTTACCTGATCTATTTGGCAACAAGAACATTAAATCTCTTCTTTAGGGTTAAAGAATTGTGGGGGTTTTGTTTGTTTGTTTGTTTTTTAAAGGCAGCCATTTTCCCATGTGTCTGGAATTCTACCTACAAGTGTACGTGTGTGTGTGTGTGTGTGTGTGTGTGTTCCTGAGAAGTGCTCTTTCCTCTTAGTCTCTAATGAACATATTCTTCCCTTCCCCTCATCTAGGCTCCTGGGCCCAGAAAGGCTCAGGTACAACTAGCAGAGAGGGCTGACCTCCCTTCCCAACCACTTGGCTGACAGCCCTGGAAACTCTTCTCCCTAGAAAAGCCAGGATAGGCCTGGTGTTCATAGACCAGTGTAACTGGTAGCCTAAGGGTTCCCCTTCAGATTAATGCTTCAGCAACTGGTCACCAACGTTTAATCTCTCAGTATCTATCTCTGGGATAGCTCTCTGCCTCCCACAGGTCAGAAAACGTTCTTCCAGGGTGGGAATGTTACCTCAGAAGGAGGCCATTGTTGAAGCGGGGTCTGGAAAATGGTAGAGCTATCTGTTCCAGCTGTATAGGTTGCAAGGTTCAGGGCACTGAGCGTGAGTAGCCACTGCTGAGCGGCTGGCTGAGGGATTCTGGGGGCTGATAGGCCTTTCCCTCTCTTGGGTCCTGGTTCCTGTTCTGTTCAATGAGAGCTGGCCTGCATAATCTCTGAGGTGCTGTCAATTCTGCGCTCCTCAGGTTTTACTCTAGTTTCTGTCTCCATTTCCTTTAAGGCTGTTATTGTTGTTATGTGCCGTCAAATCAACTATGACTCACAGAGACCCTACATATTCTAGCTCTATGGTGAGCCAATCTCACTGTGTCTGACACGCCTACCCTCATTACCCCAGTTATTGTGTCAATCCATCTCATTTGGGGTGATAGTTTTCTCCCTCAACCCCAGCCTCTCCTTGAGTCCTCCTCCCATAGAGAAGGCTGACTCAGCTCAGGAAGGCCCTGGTCTGGAAACCCTAGCTGAGTGCCAGGGACCATTAGAAAATACCTTTGAAAGGAAGAAACTCAGGAGTCCCACCCCAGGGAAGTGACCATTCAGGAGGGGCTCACAGGAATCTCAGGCAAGCTGGGGGTCCCCTGCCTGGGCCTTGCCCAGCCTAGCCTCATCAGGAGGACCTGAGAGACACATCTCTTCCCAGGCCTCAGAGACACAGCTCTCAACTTCACTTTGGACTTGGATGTGACAAAGCAGAGGAAAAGGCTGGAGTGTTTGGATGTGAAATCTTGTGTGAGCATCTTTAAGAAGTGGATCAGTGGGTCTCACCTCTGTGAGCCTCTCCAGTTCCACCCCACGAAGGGAGAGGTAAGTGGAGGAATGAACAGAGTCCAGAGGGGTCTGCATCATTGGGAAAAAAGTTGATATGCCATTGAATGAATGAAACATACTCACACGTATTTCAAAAGCAATGAAAATAATGCTAAGACATCAAAACCTCTGTAGTGGCACAGGAGATGGAGATAAGCCAGAGATCCACATTAAAGAAATCTAATGGAGTAGAACACAGTGTATTTGAGCTTCCCAGAAACCTGGATGAAAATGCCCTAATTACTGACATTTTTCTTGGTAGTATATCAAGAATCAAAGATGTCTGTCTCCTACGACATCAGTCCTTGCCTGACAACAGCAGTGCGGCTGAGAGGCTCTATGGGGTTAAACCTCAGAAAATGTAGAAGAACAAAATGAAGAAGTAGGTAGAAGTTACCGTTTAGAGATATTTGCTCCTGGCAAAGGGGCTTAAACACTTAAAAAAAATTTTTTTTCAGGATTTCAGGGCTTGATAGGACCTAGAACTTGGACCTATAAACATAATTTATTCTAATAAGCAATTAATGAACTATGTCTTGTTATACATGTATTTCCAATCTGAAATTGGATTTATCAACTGAATTCAGAGTTTCTAATAAGTGGCATCGAGGGTAAGGAATCTTGCTGCCAACCCAGAGGCAGACAGTTCATATCCACCAGCTGTTCTGAGAGAGAGAAAGATGGGCAGTCTCCTTCTATGTGATTTAAAGCCACTGGAGGGTCAGTTATGACTTGGTTCCAACCCAATGGCAATGACAATGAGCATGAGCAAGTTAATGGTCTCCCTTAACTAAAGGATGGCTATATACTCCACTAGAGAAAGCCTGCATACAGGCCAACAGCTTGAGAACAAAAAGACTGTCAAATGGCACTTAAGGGCCTCTTTGGTTTTGATTTTTACCGCTCAAATATGTCCTCCATGCTGCTTTGAGGCAGACTTTTATAAAATGCACATGTGACAGTGACTCATTCAGGGGCTCCCACTTGTTCTGTGAATAAAATCCAATCTAGTTCATCCCTCCTTATGGCCAGAACCCCGTTGTGATTGGAATGGGAACCACCAGAGTTTATGTCTTGAGACCCACAGTAGATCAAGGGAGATTTCAGAGTTGACTAGGATGGTACCGGACAGGGCAGGGTTCAGATCTGTTCACAGAATTGCTATGAACTGTAGTTGACTTAGCAACACATAACAACAAAAATAACATGAAAGCTTGGTTGAAGGAAGTTTCCTGCCAACTTGGTATTATTTGGAAGATAGTTGGGATTTCTGACCCACCACTTGGCATTGTTTACTTTGTATTAGGACTATACCAAAGTTAAACATGTTTTCACTGTTATCTTTTCCCTCACGTCCAACTCCGCCTTTCTTGGTGACCCTGAAGCAATTTGAGGACTACTATTCCAACATCAGTATCAAGGTCAGCTACCAACTCCAGACCCCTGCGGCCCGCAGAGACTACCCTTATCCCATCCTGGACTTCTACTCTGAGCCTTCTGCCTTCTTCCAGGTGACTATGCCCACAACTAGGACCTAACTCTCCAGAGGGCCATCCCATCTCCTTAAACAAACCTTCTTTTTCAGCTTAAAAAAAAATTAGAGTAGGAGGGCAGTAGCCAGGCCGTTCACTATAAAATTGGGGAAACTGAGTCCTAGAAGAGATGTTAATTTGCCCAAGGTGTCTCTGATGAGTAATGTATCATGCAAGGTCAGTTCCTTTATATTCACAAAATAATACTTGTTACATATTTAATGAAGGTTATGGGTGGAGAAGGATTGAGGTTGTTAATAATTTCAGCTTGCTCAGCTCTACAATCAACACTCTGGCACCAGCAGTCAGGAAGTCAAAAGACTAATTTGAATTGGGGAAGTCTGCTGTCAGGGACCTCTCCAAAGTGATAAAGAGTAATGATGCCAGTCTAGGGACTAAGATGTACCTGATTCAGGCCAGAGTCTTTGCAATTACTTGCTATGCATCAGAGAGCTGGACAATGAATGACTAAGGATGACAGAATTGGTGCCTTTGAGTTGTGGTGTTAGAAAGAGTATTGCACATACCTGGACTTCCAAGAGAACAAACAGATCTATCTTGGAGAGAGTGAAACCAAGTTTCTCCTTGGAGGCAAGGATTTTGAAGCTCCATCTCATATACTTTTGGCATGTGGCCAGGAGGGACCATTTCCTGGAGAAGGATATCATTCTTGGAAGGGTGGAGGAACAGTGCAGGAGAGGAAGACCCTGGATGAGATGGACTGACACAGTAACTGGGGTTATGGGGATAGGTGTGTCAAAGTCAGTGAAACTGGCTCAGGATAGGGCAGCCATCAGAGCTGTTGTACATAAGGTCACTGTGAGTCTCAGGTGACTTGACAGCACATAACAACAATATGGGTGACATACCAGGATCTTTATCTGTTAATGATCTCTGATGATGGTGCCATGTGGGTCTCATATGGGGGTGAAGCCATCTTGTTCTGTACCGCAAAGAGGATGCCAACTGGCACACCTGCCTACATAGTCCTCCCCGGGGCTTTCATGCTGAACTGGCTGGGTCTGACAGGGCCCACCAAACCTCACTCTATACTTCTCTTCTGATGTCTTTTGGTTCAGCTAAGGCAGACAGATAGTGTCTCAAGACAGTAAAGGTATAACTAAGGGAAATCAGAGGAAGTAAATAAACCACCAGGGGTTCTGATCCTGTGAGATCCTACGTGATTTCTGCATTCTCTGGCTCCCATATTAGTCGGTCAATCTCCATTGATAGACTCTTTCATAGTGAGAAGAATCAGCAAAAACAAAGAAGGGACAATGTGAGCATTGAAAAGAAAAAATTATAGTCATTTGGAATGAATTGAGTCTAAAGGAGTGGGGGAGAGAGAAGCACCTAATTCTGGCATAGAATAGCTCTTTGTTGTTATGTGCTGTCGAGTAGAAACATGTAAGGGACAAGGACATGTATGACTGTCCAGTATATTTACAAAATGCTCTATAATAATTACATTAAGTTAACCTACATAATGTCAATCTTAAATTTCTATTTCTTAAAAATCTTTTGCTCTCTAATACCTAATATATAACAGTCACCATAGTTAGAATAGGAAAATAGCATACACAGGGTGGTTGTTCTCATTGTTTATCTTGCCCAGTAAGAGAGATCGACGTCCCTGTGAATTAAGAGTATCATCTTAATTTCATAGGTATAGAGATTTACATAAATTATGTTTGTTAAATAGTGTTGACAGCCAGTTACATGACTCAGAAAATATTGGGACTATAAATTAAATAACATTTTGGTAATCAGAAGATTATATATAATATACATATTTTATATATATATATTATATATATAATCAGAATATTATATATATTTGTTGGTAATCAGAAGATTTTATAGATAGATAGATAGATCTATATATCTATATATATATATCTCCCATTTAAAAAAATATTTTTAAGTTTGTTGTTGTTGTTGAGTACCACTGAGTTGGAACCAATCCATAGTTGACTCTCCAGTGAGTTTTCAAAGGCAGTTTAATCACACAGGAGGAGATTATCTTTCTCCCACAGAGCAGGTGGTGGATTTGAACCACATGGCTTCGGGACTGCAGTGCAATATCCCAGTCATAACAAGACAAATACTGCACAGTGCCACTGTTGTAGAATGGGACTGACATCAGGGTTGGGGTAAGACTGAGAAAAACTGGATAGATGATGTATATTGCATGGAAAGTAAAATTCTTTCATTGTTATTCAATCCCTCTCCCCAAGTCCACTCCACTATGCAGCCTTCCTTTTGAAAAAATATTAATATTTTAACATTTGGTTTTTATCATTTTCCTGCCCCCAATTCTGTGTGTAATCTATACATATATAAATACGCACACACACACACACACACACACACACACACACACACACACACACACATTGTGTATTGTGTTAGGAAGTACATGATACTGACATTATTATTACTGGCAAGAGTAATAAGTAACTAATATTTTGTAGTAATAAGTAATTTATATATATCTTATGTGGAGAAGCATTGAAACTATGTATATATCCTCTTTAGTATTTTTATGATTTTTACTTTCACCAAGTTATGGTTTGGCTGAGATTTTTTTTTTAAATCCTGCCTATAAAACCAGTGAGGAGAAATGACCTGGTGTTAAATGGACAGGTACTTCCAGGGAATGAGTTCTAGCTGAGAGTTTAGATGACTTAAACCTGTTCTCTTTCACTGACTTGGGTAGGGGGGAAAGCAGGCCACTTAACTGTATTGAAATAAAAACAACATATTGAAATTGTTGAAATAGCAAATGTTTTGTTACCTACATATTTACAATAAAAAAAAGGCAATACACAAAAAGACCTATACAAAACTGTTAACACATGCAGACAGAGCTCCTGCTCCTGACTTCTGTAAACTGCACTTTCCTGCTCAGGATGTAGAAAGTCTCTTTCCTAGCTCGGAGCTCCATTCCAGCCTCAGCACATGGCAGCAGTCCTTGTGTGAGGCTTTGAGGTGATCACTGCTCCCGGGGGAACTGAAGGCAGAAAATCTTGTTCAAGAGCAACCTGTTTCTGTCCCCATACACAACAGACCAACCCTGGGGCCTAGTGGTAAGGAGCTGTGCTGCCAGTTAAAGGTATGTGGTTGGTTGGGGTCCAGCAGGGGCTCCATGGGAGAAAGATGGGCAGTCTCTTCCTGTGCGATTTACAGCTGAAAATCCACTGGAGAGTCAGATATGAGTCAGTTCTGACTCAGTGGTACTTAACAAACAAAGTTTTTCAGTTGTCATTTCTTCAGTCTGAACTGGGCCTTTGGACCAAATATGACTTTTTAAGTTGATTGTAGTGTTGGCCAGATTGCATGGGAAATGCTTAACTTATATATTCTACAAAACACTGAGGCAAAGGACCTCCCAGGACTTGACCCTGACAATATTTGGTCAGATGTTCCTCCCTTCCTGTCTCTGCTATCCTGCCTGTATAAGAATGGATTAACAAAGCTTTTCTTCACATAGCTGTTCTACCCAAACGTGTCTGAAGCAGAGTGCCGTGTGCCCTGGTGTGTGTGATGGGCGCTCTGTCATTCCAGGATGGTTAGCCTATTCATGGTGCTGCACTGTAGAAACAGGCACATTCCTTCTTCTGATTATCTTCAAGGAACGGCTTGAAGGAATGTCAGCCACCAGGCTCTAGACCAGACAGGCGCTTCCCCAGCTTCACGACCCTGTAACAGGCTTAGAATAAAACATTCAGGGCAGCCCTGACTGAAGATCCTAAGTCAGGGTTGCTGGGGATGGTAAGGGGTCCTGAGCTAATCTTGTGCCCATTTGTCTGCTTACAGCTGCCCTACGAGAAGGCCTGCAAGAATAAGCTATTTTGTGTCCCTGATTTGAAGTTGGATACCAGCATCTCTGAGTGAGTTTGGTCCCATTCTCACCTTCTCTGATTGGTCCTTTCCCTGTCTTCCCTGTGACGCCCACAAGAGTCTTTGCTGTGTTAGCTCATTGCATCCTCAGCCACTATCTGATGGAAGAAGTATAAAAGTTCTATTTTCACTTTCTTGATGAGGACACTGAGGCTCAATAGTTGAGGGTCCTGTGTGGGATCACAGTGCTCATTTGATGGGCTTGGAACTCAGGTTACTTGACCTCCTAGACAATGCTATTTTCATAGCCCAGTGTCCTCACTCTCAGGACCAGCTCAGTTAGTCATAATGCCTCCCCTCACTCACTTCTTGGCCAAACTCATTCATGCACCCATCAGATATTCCTTCAGCATCTACTCTGTGCCAGGCACTGTACTAGGTGCTGAGGATACATGAGGAACAATGCAGACAAAAATCTAGCCCTCTTGATGCTTTTAGGGAGAACAGATAATGAGTAAAATCTAGAAATGTTGATGAAATGTCATATGGAGCATAGTATGTGAGGGAGGGCTGGGCAGGGGTGGGGTTACAGTTGGTTTTTTTTAGTCATTTAGTTTGTTTATTTTTCATTTCAATGAACATCTACAGAGATTTTGGAATTCCATTCATTCATTGTTGCACCCTTCTCCCCGCACA